TCGGGCCACATGTCTTCTAGTGTTTTGAGAGGGAAGCAGACTACACGCAGGCTGCAGGTTCAATTCCGTGCAAGTAATGCCTGGACCATTCCAGGCTTCTACATCAATACTGTTGTTTCTCGCGAGAGAGAGTCCCGCTTGGCCCGAGGTTGAGATCCTGCCGGCGCTGGAAGACTACCTGACAGACTGTGGTAAAACGAACCTAGCTCAAGTTGAACAGTTCCTGGAATACCTGGGCGGCATTGAGGACCAGGCCATCCTTTCTTGCGGCATCGAACTGCGCCGAAGCTGAAAGTGCCACTGGCCGTGCTGCTGGTCTTCTTGTCAGGTCTTCAAGAACCGCTTGGAAAGGGAGGCGAAGATGAGAGCTGAAAGGCAAGAAGAACGCAGCAAGGAGACCAAGGAGGAGGCCGTTTTGGAACAGCCATATCATCTTCTCGAGGGAGTGTGGATCATCCGAATCGTGCTCTGGGTGAGATGGTGAGGTGAGACTCTTGCTGTGCCTGTCAAAATTTCCTCTCAGCACTCAGCGTGTGACTTCAGGATACCGCCGGCTCAGCAGGAGGTCAGATGGGTGCCGATTTGGCTGGTGAAGGCACCCGTGCATGTAGGTAGCTTTCAGGTGTTCTGGCTGGGTTCTCAGCTTGCGAAGCGAGCCGCAGGCAGCACTGGCGCTGCCGACGCCTTCCTGCCGAAAGAGGAGGCCTCGGACACCAGCGCCTTCCATGCGCAGCTATTGGCAGCATAGCCAGCATTCAGGGACATGCCCCAACCCTGCAAGTAGCAACGCGTGGTCCAAAACCAAGGCCCAGAGCTTCTCCATGGATTTCGAGAATTTGGAGACACCAGAGCCACCGACAAAGCGACAGCGCCAGGACATGTGCAGCCTGCAGAGTGCATGCAGGGCACGCGGTTGCCAGAGTCTTGCTGCCCTTCGTGTGATCTGTCATGTAGGAGCCCACGCTCGATCCACCGAAGCCGAAGGAGAACAAGGACCACACCCGCTTCTTTGCGAGGGTCTGATCGCACATCCCGCTGCGAATCCGTTACTCACAGATTTAAATACAAGCAAAGCGCAGCCTTGCTCAAGAGATGTAGTAGCGCAGGCCAAGTCGGGCAAGATTGTCGACCGTGAGTTCCACCAGGCCTGGGTGCCATTGGTGCCGGAAGTCTCTGACCGCCAAAATTTAAAGCTGCATCACTCCTCCCAATGTGAAATGCACCGTGTGGAGTCTTCAGGCTCTACGAGATCGGCTGAACAACAGGCAAGATTTGGGCGAGGCCCGGACGATGAGCTACTGTAGGGTTTGAAAGACGGCCCAGAGGCGTGGCGTAGCATGTACCCTCCCCTGCGGTCCAGTTCAGGCCATGCCTGACACAGTCCGCCTCGGCGAGGGACCGCACTGGAAACAGCACCTCAGCAAGTGTTTTGAATTGTGGCTTGAAGGGACTTTCAAGCTTTATGCAGATATCAAGCATATTGACGAAGTGTGACTTGCTCTGAATCACTCATCCTCGTGTAAAAAAGTTGGAGTTCTGTTGCGACAGAACGCATCATGATGCAGCGAATATTCCGAGCCTGGGTTTGGGCGTATTTGCGTCGTTCTGGATGGGGGAGCCGAGGCGCTACTATTTCGAAAAGTTCAAAGTGAAACAGGAGAGGGGGCCGAACATGTATGACTACATACGCCCAGGGTTTGCTGAGCCATCCGGCACATCTCCGAACATTACAGGATGACCTCGTCGATTTCCTGCAGAGAATACGAAAAGCCTACGTCGAGGGCTTGTGCTGGGTCCTAGTCTACTACTACCAGGCCTGCAGACTGTGTTTCAAGGCCTGCATGTACTTACCCATCACTGCCACAGTTGACAGGGCTGCCCGTCCTGGACCTGGTTCTATCCTTATCACTATGCGTGGCCTGGCTAAGCGAAGGCTAACGTGGGCTTCGGCTTGTTGTAAATTTGGCAATGAAGCCTGGCACGGCGCAGCCCCTATCATCAGCTTCCAGGATCGAAGTGCCCTGCCTTGTTGCCACGGTGACCGTGTAGGTCCTTTTTCCGGCGCCCCTGCGACAACCTGTCACTGAAAGATTCAGAACGCAGACAACCCAAGGCCATTTGCCTCTGACCTAATTGGGTGCGGCAACCTCAAGTGCGGGGAGCTGACCTACTTCCAGCCAGCTGGCAGATCATCGTTTCGTTGTTGGAACCTGTATTTCAGCTGCTGATACCAGTAGAGTGCCTGACAGTGCATACAGCTGCAGAGCACTGAGGTCTGGGCAGCCCTTCCAGCCGTTCCAGCAGCTAATGAGTGTCCTCCCACCAGTCAGCGCCGAGGAGGTGACCGCAAGCGGACCAAACGGAGACTCGCCATACACAGAAGCATCTGGATTCTGCTGCGAGGCCGGTATCCCAGCCGCAATGCGCGAACTCATGAAGCAGGCCTTCTCTCCGTCTCCCGGCATGAAGTTCAGCCCAATCCACCCAATTAAAACAGCATGTGTTTTTGGGCGCCAGTCTGGAAGTCTGAGAGAAACCTGTATTGTGGCAGGCTAATCGATTTCTATCCGGTGGACTTCGGCTTGGATTTGAACGGCAAGCGCTTTACATGGCAGGCTCCCAAACTCAGAGTCTCCGACTGCGGTCGCTGCACCTGCCCCTAGCTGTTCAGGCCGTGGTTCTTTTGCCATTCATAGATGAGCCTCGTTTACTGCGGGTGTTGGGGCCGCTTCTGGCGAAGCTGAAGCCCCACGAGAAGGCAGAAATCTGGTGGTATGCCGGGTACAAAAGAAAGCATGCTGGCAGCTGCGACAGCTGCGACTGACTGATCTGTCTCAGATCAGAAATCGACGGGGCAACGAGCTTGTCTTCGGACACAAGCAGGACAAGGTTGGGCCGCCGGTGGAGCTGTGGATTCTACAAGGCGGGCGTGGCCTGCGCCCTTGTGTCAGGCCTTGTTCCATGCGGTGCAGCTGGCACAAGCAGCCTTCGAAGCCGGTCATGCTGGACTGAAGCAGCATCCCGGCCTGCTCATGCCAGTTCAGAATTCGGAAGATGTCACCTGTAAAAAGTTGAATGCCAATGCACAGATGTTGTCTCGGGTGCTTCTGCAGATCCCTTCCTTTGTCCAATGGGTTGCCTCGCTGAGGACTGTGCGCGACAGGCACCGGGAAAGGAACATAGATTTTGTCCATCCCCTTTGTGTAGGCGAGGTGAACGAAGGACGAATTCACAACGAAATCAGCGTGTGATCACCTGGCAGTACAACCGCTGGCATGGAAAGTGCATGGTGGCCGCCACGTGTGCGTTGACAGATACCTCTTCGGGGCCTTGGAGGGCTGGCAAGGAGGCGGTGCCAACAGAGAGGTGCGCAGGGGACCTGGGACTTGGGGCTCTTGAGATTGCGCTTCATGTGTGAGACATTGTGAGACGTAATTGGTGCCGTATCCGTAACCCAATCCTGCTTGGCGCAGGTGACGTCCCCCGTCGAGGGTCTCCCTGACGTGGAGGAGTCCCACTGTATCTCGGCACAGCCACTCGACAACGACGGCCGGTGGGTTTGGCTTGAATTGCAGGGCCACTTGCCCAGGGTGGGGGCAATGGCAACGTGCTAAGTTTGGTGTTGTAAGTCGCGGCATGCCCCGTTTTCCAGCATTACTCTGACAAGACAAGGTTCACTGACCCGGAAGGGGTGCCCCACCAGTCCAAGCTGTTGCCTGGCATCGCTGAGCAGCCAGTGGCCGCAATCTGAGAGTTCACGGTACACCTGCCCTGTGTATCGCACAAAATTCCAGAAATCGTGACATGTGTACAAGTCCCTGCCGCAAACATCATCAGGTGGTCAATGCCGCGGACATGGACGAAGGATCTCGCCTGAAGGGCTTCGGTGGAGAACCGGCAGCTTGGCCGCGATGAGCGACGGATATTGCCTCAACGTCTTTATCATCATCTTCATCTTATTCATCTTGATCATCATGTTGAAAAATGATCATGCCCAACTGGTACTGTCGGACTATCCCCAGCATGTGCGTACCAACGACGCCAGCAGCGACGCTGTGGCGGTCCACACGGGGCTGTCCAACATGAGGGCAGTGCTCTCCAGGACAATCGTGTTTTTCCCGATTTCTACGTTGTCGGGCCGAGGGCTTGGGTCTCTCCGACGGGTCACGGCGCAAGATGTGTGCAAGAAACGCATTGCGCGCTTGTGGAGTCGGGACAGCGATGCTTTGTCACGCGCGAACAGGAACTGCAAGGGTTCGTGTGCACAAGAGACAGGGGTGAGAACAAGCAAGACCAGACCAAGCCCTGTAAAAGCTGTTGCAGAGCGGCCCTTGGCTGAGGCACGCAAGCTGATCATGCAAGCCCTCGGCAAGGACGGCAGAAGAAAGCGCTACCAAGAAGCCATGTGAGAGGTTGCCTTAGCTGCCTTAGCTTGCGATGTTTCCTCGTGTTCCTCCTGGGAGCTTAAAGCCCCACTTCGACGGAGCTCGTGGACTCGTGCGTGTGGAAAGCTGCATCTCCATGGCTCCGGCCGTCAGGATAGCTTTCTTAAGTGTGGTCTTGCAAGTTGGGATGAAGGACTTTGCCGATCGACACTACTTGTGAGTGGAAGTAGCGACTTCATTCGGGATCAAGCCAAGTGTCCCCATTGGACATTAGCTGTGCAGCTGCGGTTCTCCACGTGTGAACTTTCGGCAAAGATCCATGTGAGAATGGGTAAGGTCCTGTGGCAACAAGCCTCTGATAAGAATCTATGGAGGAGTGTTGTAGCCTGTGCAGGCTTGATGATCCATGGGCTTGCCCCCTCGATCATCGACCTGTGGAAGAGCATCGGTTCCGTGAGCAGGCTGCGCGAGGGGGTTGGCACGCAGACAGACGAAAGGAAAGGGAAAGAGAGCGGGGGGAAGAATCAGCTCGATGGGAGAATGGCTGCCCTGCAGAATAGTCGAGAAAGCCGGACGGGGTTGGCTTCCCCCTACACGAAACAAAGGCCTGGAAGCGCTTTTACATCCTGCCATGAAGAGACCCAGCAGCGAGAGGTTCTACTACCACCGCCACCAGCAGAACTCATGCCTTCCACAAGCCTTCAGTTGTGTCTGTCCACTATGTACTGTGGAGTGAATGCGCCGGAAGTCTGTTCAGTTTCTTGATGTGCTTCGCCGTCACGACGATGGCCGGGAACCGAGATCCTGGCTTTTTTGCGGTTCGGCAAGGTTTGGCTACATCTCCTTGATGTTGGGCACAACATGGCACAACCGAGCTGCCTTTTGAGAGTCTGAGCGGCCAAGCGAACACAGCAGCCGTGCTCAGATCATCTTGCCTGCTGTTTGGGCAGCTCTATTTGCGACTCGAATGCTCCACCACGGCGCGCACAGGCGGGGCTCACCAAGCTGACCAGTCTGGGTGCTGTAGCTTCCCTGCAAGCTCAGAACTGCCACAACTTGCCATGTCGCTGCCAGTGACGTGTCGCGGGCCGCCTGCTACTGGGAGCCGATTCTGCGACCATGGGCCAGGGATTCCCAGTAAGCAGAGCGGTTTGGGGTCCGGATCAATCTCTCGGTTCCGTAATTAAGTCGAGACTTCTTTGGGCCATAAAATCACAATTGTGTGTCATGCTTTGCCTTGTATGCGCATGGGGCGCAGTACCACTGCAATCGAGCAAGAAGCCCCGAAAGCCCGAAGACACGCCGCGATGCTTTTCACCAGGTCCGTCCAGAAATAATAAGATCCGGTTTGATGGCCATTTGTAGTCAACGTCCGGTGTCCGGAGGTCATCCATCAATAGGCAATTATGTGGTGGGAGTGGTTACGCGGGAAAGAGGGCGCGATGCCGCCTGTTTTCACCACCACAAACAGCCGCCATCCGCATGCAGCTACGGCAGTGACTGATGAGACAAATGACTGCAACACAAAGAGGAAGACACGTATGTCTTTTGTTCATGAATCCAGTTGTTCTTGGAGATGGCAGCAACTGTTTGGCTGTAGTGAATCGGTAGTTGTTGACACCTGTGGCTGCAGGTCTTATGCCACATTTGGTCTGCATCGCTCTGCTTGGACACTGCCTCAGTGTGTTGCAGTATGGAGTCAGAAATCAAACTTTCTCACGAGCGACTTTTGATGACGGGAGATATCTGCCAGTATTTGATGAGCAGAGCCAGTGAAGTCGGCTGAGACTCGCGCACCTCCCACATCCCTTGATGGAGGTGTACTACATGGTGACAGCACGGAACAAGGCTGATTCTCCGGACTTGCATCAAAGCCTGGATGTCTTGTATTGTGCACGTCCTAGAACGGTTGGTGCTGTTTCTGCAGGCTGTCGTGGAGGTGTGTGCTCACTTTCCAGAGGTTCCCGTTGGCATGGCAGCTTTGAGGCATTCAGCCTTAGAGGTGGATTCTGCGCCCGACATGTTGTACAGTAGAATGTGTTGTGTTGGCAAACTGTCCTCCTGCGACCTGAGGTTGCAATTCTGTGCATGGGTCTGCCCCTGAGTGAATTGGGTTCGCCTGAGCTAAGAGTGTTGAGCCATGGTGCTTCAGGTGTCGGAATGTCGCTACCCCAGCTATTGACTGCTGCACCGCACTGCAGTCTAGACTCAGCCTCGGGGCTTTTCCGGCAGCCCTCAGGCTTCTGCGCAGTTGTTGGGTCATGCTGCGCCGAATGTTGAGACTGCTGGGATACATTTGTCAGCTTTGTGCAGATGACAGAGAATCACGCTTGCTATGGTCAGAGACTCTGCCATGACCACAGAGACGTGCGTTGCACGTTGAGCTCCGGACAATAAGACATATCGCCCGCCCACCCCCGACATTGATTTTTGGGGACGAAGCCCATGCCGTCGTGGCGGGACTTTTGGTGTGCCGGTTCGCTGCCCTCTCTCTGGAAGAGCAAGCCCGGCAAGTCCGTCTGCTGGCAAGGTGTCAGCCACAGGCTCCGTGTTAGTGCTACGAAACGGACGAAAGACTTCTCACCCTGTGATGCATACCATGGCATTCATCGCGTGACCTGATGAAAGGCTGTTGGTAAAGCTGCTGCGGCAAAGCGCCGAACTGACTCCCCGACGGCTTCTGGCCCTTCGGCTGGCATGCGATCTACCTGTACCACAGGTCCTTCTCCGACAGGCCAGGGAAAGGCAGTTGGGGGACTTTTCGTGCCTGGCCGCCCTGCCCCGACTTTGCAGGACGTGACCGTGCTGTCTGACACGCTGAGAATACCAGCGAGCGACAAAAAATCGGAGGCCATGGGTCAAGTCTTCACATGCCCTTGGATCTGGACGCAGCCTGTCAGGTCTCCATTCAGCTGGAGTGGCTCGTTCCCCAAAGTGCTCCTGGCAGCAGAAAGCGCAGCGCCTCATTTAAATGGCTGCCCGGCTTTGGCTGCACGGACGTCGGTGGCCGATGCCCACGCGACTTCAAGCGCGTCGTGCTCTACTTGCACGGCGGTGCCTACGTGCTATGCACTGCCAAGTCCTTGCGTGGTATCACATTCAATGTCGCTGCCACCCTGCAGGTGAAGCCATCGCGAAACAGCTTGTACTGTGCAGTACCGGTAGTGCTGCCTCGGACACGATATGGCCTTCCGTCAACTCCCATGCTGCAGGCCGCGCTTTGCGCGCCTGATTTCAGGCGGCCGCCGGAGCATCCCATTCCCGGGCCGATGGAGGACGATGTGCAGAGGGTGCTGCTTATGCATCGGGAGTTAGGGAGGACGCTCGGAGAGTCAGAGAAATTCCAAGGCGACTGTACGGCGAGGGTACATGCCTGTGGCATCACCATCGCTACTGGTAGCATCACTTTCATCACCCTCACATCACAAAGCATCACAAAACCATCACCACATTATTCATGTTTGATCAAAAACCGCAACCACCATATCACCAACTTCACAGTCGCCGCCGAGCAACATCATTCTTCACTGCATCCGTCAACGGCCCAACCCCATGACCTCCCCAGCCTCTGCTGACTTGCTGCGAACAGTTTTTAAGACGAAAGCCGAGAGACAATACCCTCGCGAGCTCCACTCATGCTACCGTCCTCTTGCAGAAGCCACATCAGGTTTCAAGTCGCAATCGCAAGCAGTTCCAGCTGAAGCTACCCATGAAGTCCACTACAGAGCTCACTCATTTTGCAGCACCGCATTGTCATCACCGAGTTTTGTGGTTGTCCAAGCAGTCTTGTTGCTGTCGGTGGTTTGAGCCGGCCACTGGTCTCGAAGTGATCTCATGCAGCGTCATTTTCTGGAAATGTCAGTCAGCATAGAGCCAGGGACCTCCAGAAGCGCCCGCACATGGACTTGGTTGACAGGGCCGGGTAGCAATCGTACAAGCACCAGACGCTAGAAATGGAACTTAGCCTCGCAGTCTTATTTATTTGCAGCAAAAAAGGTGGTTGAATGCACGATGGATCCTCAAGCTGCCAAGATCAGTAAAGGAAAGGTCTAGTCCAGTAAGAGCGGAGACAGTCAGCTGGGAGGATGCCATAGAGGTGTACCGGCACCTGCTTCAGACCATGCCTGGAACGGACATCATCCTGGCTGGGGACTCTGCGGGCGGAGGAATTGCAGCAGCGATGATGCACAAGCTTCAGGACCTCTGTCTCAGGGTGTGGTGCATGCTTGGGTCTCGGAGTCTGTCTGCGAATCCGGGCAACAGGAGCTCGAGCTGCCTCCTCCGACTTGCTGCATCCTCATCTCTCCCTGGACGGACCTCGGCCACGACGGCATGCGGAACGCGACGCTGTCCAACGAGGACCGCGACTTCCTGCCCGGAGCCCGGAAAGACCGAAAAGCCCACAAAGAGTTGTCGGAGTTGTCGCACGAGGCCACCGGACCTGGTCGAGTTTTGCGCTTCGATGACCCGCGGAGATTTGCCCCACAACGATTGGCAGCATTCGCCAGTTTTTGCACCAGGTCCCCTGCATGAGATCCCTCCCACTCTCGTGGTCTACGGCGAGGACGGCGCATAAGCACTCCCGGAAACCTGTAAGGGGGCACCTGCATATCCCAGCTCATCCCAGCTCTCAATGGCCAACTTGAGGACGAGCTGTTGGCCGGGCAGATTGCTCATTTTGGCGACTCGGGCAATTTAGCATTCGGACGCCTTCTTGGCACATTTGGGCACTCCGAGGCAGTGTTTGGCGACAGAAGGGCGCAAGTGTCACCCTGGTGCCCGTTCGAGGCCGAGCGCTCGGGCAGGGTTGAAACCAGTGACAGCATGTGACAGCCAATCGGTGCCAGTGCGAAGTCTCCTGCACAGGGCACCAAGCATGCAGGAGTACATTTCTGTATTGGCCTGCATGTCAATGATGTGCATCTACGCACTTTGTAGGCCTAGTGTAGAATTTTATAGAATAGTGTATAGAAATGTGCGGCATGCCGGCAGGGTTGCCCTCTGACAATGTATTGCCGAAGATTAGGGTCGGATGCTTGTGGGGTCGATTCTTCGGCCAGGCGGGGTGCATGCGCCATTGCTACTACATCATGTTTGGGAGCCTGCAGTTGATGCTTTCAGCGTGACTAAGCAGCAATCAATGAGTCGGTCCTTCGTCGATGTTCAGACTGTTTTGCCGTGCACTTGGCCGAGGACCTGTCCAGGTTTGTTGAGGAACACTGCATCAAAGTTTAGCAGGTGTGGCACTTTTAACTGCTTTTGATGGACTCCTGATCAGAGCCAGAGGCCTGAAAGAATGCGCATTCGGTCCGGCAAAGATCCGTTCGAATTTGCGTCCCACAGTGGTCTCCCTACCCTCTGCCATGGCTCACACAATGAGCTTCTGCAAGGACTTGAGCTTTTGAAAAGACCTTCGCGCCAGATTTCGGCACCAGACAAATGCCTACAAGGGATCAGACCATGCCTGGCTAGGTATGGCCTGCTCTCATATGCCAAGTCCGTCACAAAGCCGAAGCACATCCCTAGCCACAGCCACGCTCTTAGTCTTCCTGGGCTCCACGGCCATGCCATTGGAGACGCTTTGGATCGCTTGAGGCATGGTCCCTTCCCTGCCCGGCGGGGCCTTGGTGTGGGGCACATTCCTCGGAGGACTCGCCGAGTCTTACAGTGTTGCAGCAGAATCTCAGACTTTTTTTTGGTATCGCCTGATGCATAGTCATAGCATCCAGGCTCAATCGAGGCTTACTTACTGTACTGCGAGGGCTCTACACTCCTAGCTCAAGGCAAGCCGCATTGGGTACGCTTCCTGAGGTGTCTTGCCAATGGCGACTATGGCATTCTGGGCTGTCACCTTGTACAGGCGCGACAGACTTGCTACTTCCCGTTGTCAGCAGAAATGCGGGTCAAGCTTCTTTAGCTTTGCTGCCAGCCACGGCCCGCGAAGAGACCCGACCATGCAATCCACCGAAGATGTCAACAGTGTCTCGGCGAATTTATATGGGACGAAACGGTCAACTTGCAAATTCAAACTATCCGTCGTTGAGCTGCCCGGCTACCCAAGGCGCATTATCCCGGCTCCTGCCGGTGAGCCGGGGCAGTCACTACGACATGACATGTGACATGCTTTGACCTGTGGTTCTTGGAAGGAGCTGAACCGACAGATCCACAGTGACATCAAAGACAGTGCCGGGGACTGCGAGGCTGCCGAATCGGCCCAAAGGCCGCAGGCGGGCTAAAGTCTTAGCTTTCCAGAGGCGCTGTGGGACTATCGGACGACCATCGGGGAAGTGCTGTTCTCCAGACCGCTTTCAGAGATCTACAGGACGGCGGCCGCATGGATTGACATTCGTACGGATGCCGTGTGCTTGAACAGGAGCTGCGAGGGTAGTGGGCGGCTCGCACACATCACGACGGACAGGGGAGGAGTTGCTTGGGGCCCAGCCCTGTTGGCAGATTCGCTTGATTTCGCGTGGTTTCCCTGGTGAGTAAAGCAATCAATGGCCTTCCACTTGATGGCTGATTCGGCTTTGTGGCCATGTCGAGGGAAGGCGGATGAAAACAACCACTTGGCATACCTGCACAGCCTACTGCCTGCTTGTGCTTCTGATGTGTGTCTTGCCCAGACTAGTCAGTGTTTCGGCCACTTTCATTACAACGTGCCACAGATGTCCGTAAGCTTGGGGACATGCTCCCAGGATACAGACATTGCCGTTCTGTGGGCCACCGGTCTCAAGTCCCTGGAGCTCGTAGACGCATTGGCATGATGCTCAGCCAGGCCTCTCATGGACGACAAAAGGGTAGCCACTTCAAAAGGAGGCAATGCCAGGTGTCAGTGCTGAGATACGGTGTGCGATGCCGAAGCATTAAATTGAGGTCACACCGCCGGCTGACATATCCTCACCAAGCCAGCTGGAACTCAGAGTTTTCGCCGGGGGGGCAGTGGAGAGGGTTTTCTGTGCGCATAAGCGAACAAAGAGAGGGGAGGGAGGAGCCTCCGAGGCAGTGGGCGCTTACGTTGACGGCAATGTTCAGCAATCTGCATATCTACACCAAAGTCCTCGTCAATGACAAGGCAGCTTTCGCTGGGCCATTGATTGAGTCTGCTTCGGGCATGACGACTACGCGGGACAGTAATTAAGCAGTTACAAGTGCATGCATGCGTTGTAGTATGTATGTATGTATGTATGTATGCATGTATGTATGCATGTATGCATGTATGCATGTATGCATGTATGCATGTATGCATGCATGTATGGATGTATGGATGTATGTATGTATGTATGTATGCGTTTATGCAATTTATGTATGAATTCATCTATGTATGTATGCATGCATGCATGCATGCATGCAAGGATGTCTGTCTGTCTGTCTGTATGTATGTATGTATGTATGTCTGTCTGTGTTTAAAAACCTCCCTTGGTATTCATGCATCTGTGATCGTTCGTGTGTGCGTGCGTGCGTGTGCGTGTGCGTGTGTGTGTGTGTGTGGGTGCGTCTGTGTGTGTGTGTGTGTGTGTGGGTGCGTCTGTG